CTGTTTCCCATAGTGGCTGCACCAGTCTGCATTCCCACCAGCAGTGCACTAGGGTTCCCTTTTCTCCACATCATCACCAGCACTTGTCATTTGTTGATTTGTTGATGGTAGCAATCTGACAGGTGTGAGGTGATAGCTCATTGTTGTTTTAATTTGGATCAGGGACTTTGAGCATTTTTTTTCATATGCCTCTTGGCCATCCGTATGCCCACTTTGGAGAAGTGTCTACTTAGGTCCTTTGCCCATTTTTTAAAAATCCTCATCCGAGGATATTTTTTCATTGACTTTTAGAGAGAGTGGAAGAGAGAGGAAAAGACAGAGAGAAATATCAATGTGAGAGAAACACTTCGATTGATTGCCTCCTGTTGTACACCAACCAGGGACCAGGCTGGGAAGGAGCCTGCAACTGAGGTACGTGCCCTTGACTGGAATCAAACCCGGGACCCTTCACTCTGAGCCAAACCTGCTAAGGCCCTTGCCCATTTTTTAATTGAATTATTTGTATTCCTTTTGTTAAATTGTATGAGTTCCTTATATATTTTGGATATTAACCCTTTCTCAGATGTATCATTGCCAAATATGTTCTCACATACAGTGGGCTCTCTTTTTGTTTTGTTGATGGTTTCTTTTGCTGTGTAGAAGCTTTTAATTTTGATGTAGTCCCATTTGTTTATTTTCTCTTTAGTTTCCTTTGCTCTAGGACAGTGGTTGGCAAACTCATTAGTCAACAGAACCAAATATCAACAGTATGACGATTGAAATTTCTTTTGAGAGCCAAATTTTTTAAACTTAAACTATATAGGTAGGTACATTGTTTTTTTTTTAATATATTTTTTATTGATTTTTTACAGAGAAGAAGGGAGAGGGATAGAGAGTTAGAAACATCGATGAGAGAGAAACATCAATCAGCTGCCTCCTGCACACCCCCCAGTGGGGGTGTGCCCGCAACCAAGGTACATGCCCTTGACCGGAATCGAACCTGGGACCCTTGAGTCCGCAGGCCGACGCTCTATCCACTGAGCCAAACCGGTTCGGCGGTACATTGTTATTAACTTAATTAGGGTACTCCTAAGGCTTAGGAAGAGTCACACTCAAGGGGCCAAAGAGCCGCATGTGGCTCGTGAGCCGCAGTTTGCCGACCACGGCCCTAGGAGATGTCTGATTATGCTGCCTATAGTTTCTTCTAGGATTTTTATGGTTTCATGGCTTACATTTAAGTCTTTTATCCATTTTGAGTTTATTTTTGTGTATGGTGTAAGTTGGTGGTCTGGTTTCATATTTTTTGCATGTATCTATCCAATTTTTAAAATTTGTTTTTTTAAAAATATATTTTATTGATTTTTTTACAGAGAGGAAGGGAGAGGGATAGAAAGTTAGAAACATCGATGAGAGAGAAACATTGATCAGCTGCCTCCTGTATACCCCCTACTGGGGATGTGCCCACAACCAAGGTACATGTCCTTGACCGGAATTGAACCTGGGACCCTTTAGTCTGCAGGCCAAAGCTCTATTCACTGAGCAAAACTGGTTAGGGCTATCTGTCCAATTTTACTAACACCATTTATTGAAGAGACTGTCTTGAATCCATTGTATGCTCTTGCCTCCTTTGTCAAATATTAATTGAGTGTATTGGCTTGGGTTGATTTCTGGATTCTCTGTTCTGTTCCATTGATCTATATGCCTGTTCTTGCGCCAGTACCAGGCTGTTTTGATTACAGTGGCTTTGTAGTATAACTTGATATTTGGTATTGTGATTCTTCCAACTTTTTTCTTCTTTCTCAAGATTGCTGCAGCTATTTGGGGTCTTTTTTTGGTTCCGTATACATTTTTTGGAGTATTTTTTGTATATTTGTGAAGTATGCCATTGGTATTTTAATAGGGATTGCATTGAATCTGTAGATTGCCTTGGGTAGTATGGACATTTTAATGATGTTGATTCTATCAATCCATGAACATGGTATATTCTTCCACTTGTTTATATCTTCTATCCCTTTTTTCAATGTCCTGTAGTTTTCAGAGTTTTACCTCTTTGGTTAAGTTTATTCCTAAGTATATTAATTTTTTTTGTTGCAGTGGTAAATGGAATTATTTGCCTAGTTTTTCTTTCTGTGAATTCATTATTAGTGTATAAAAAAGCTGTTGATTTTGTATCCTGCTACATTGCCAAATTCATTTATTAAATCTATTAGTTTTTCAGTGGGGTCTTTAGGGTTTTCTTTTAAAAAATATTTTATTGATTTCAGAGAGGAAGGGAGAGGGAGAAAGAGATAAAATCATTAATGATGAGAGAGAATCATTGACTACTGCCTCCTGCACACCCCATACTGGCGATCAAGCCAGCAGCCTGGGCATGTGCCCTTGACAGGAATCAAACTCAGGACTCTTCAGTCCCCAGGACGATGCTCTATCCACTGGGCCATACCGGCTAAGGCTTTGGGGTTTTCTATGTACAATATAATGTCTTTTGCAAATAATGAGAGTTTTACTTCATTCTTTCCAATTTGGATGCCTTTTATTTCTTCTTGTCTGATAGCTGTGGCTAGGACTTCCAGTACTATGTTGAATAAGAGTGGTGAAAGTGAACATCTCTGTCTTGTTCCTGTTCTTAGGGGAAATGCTTTTAGTTTTCACCCATTGAGTATGATGTTTGCTGTAGGTTTGTCATATATGACCTTTATCATGTTGAAATATGCTCCCTCTGTTCCAACTTTGCTGAGTTTTTTTTATCAAAAACTAGAGACCCGATGCACAAAATTTGTGCAAGAGTAGGCCTTCCTTCCCCCGCTGCCAGCACTGGCTTCCCTCTGGCACCCGGGACCCGGGCTTCCCTCACAGCCCTGCCTTCCTCTGAAAGGATGTCTGGTCTAATTAGCATATTACGCTTTTATTATTATAGATGGGTGTTGGATTTTGTCGAATGCTTTTTCTGTGTCTATTGATATGATCATGTGATTTTTGTCTTTCAATTTATTTATGTCATGTATCACGTTTATTAATTTGCGAATATTGTACCAGCCTTGCATCCTGGAATAAATCTCACTTGGTTATGGTGTATGATTTTTTAAAATATATTGCTGGATTTGATTTGCTAATATTTTGTAGAGAATTTTAGCATCTATATTCATCAGGGATATTGGCCTGTAATTTTCTTTTTAGTGTCTTTATCTGGTTTTAAAAATATATTTTATTGATTTTTTACAGAGAGGAAGGGAGAGAGATAGAGAGTTAGAAACATCGATGAGAGAGAAACATCGACCAGTTGCCTCCTGCACATCTCCTACTGGGGATGTGCCCGCAACCCAGGTACATGCCCTTGACCGGAATCGAACCTGGGACCTTTCAGTCCGCAGGCCGACGCTCTATCCACTGAGCCAAACCGGTTTTGGCTTTATCTGGTTTTAGAATTAAGATAATGCTGGCCTCATAAAAAGAGCTTGGAAGTTTTCCTTCCTCTTGGGTTTTTTGGAATAGTTTGAGGATTTAGGTGCAGCTCTCCTTTGAATGTTTGGTAAAACTTGCCTGTGAATCCATCCACAGACTCTTACAATTGGCAAACAAAAGTCTTTTCATTCCAAATTATAGAAGTATAGCAGTTTTTAATAGTTGCATAATATTTTATTGTGTGGGCGTACCACTTATTATTTAGACAATTACATAGTGTTAGACATTTAAGTTGCTGGTAATTTTTCTCTCTTAGAAACAGTGCTCAAATGAACATCCTTATATATTCTTCCGTGTACAATTATTTGATTATTTCTTTAGTAAAAAATCCTACCAGTGCAATGCTTGGTTGAAAGGCATGTACATCTTTAAAGCTTCTTATGAAGATTACCAAATGGTCTCCCAGATAAGTTGTACCACTATATAAAGCAAATCTGTCCCTTTTCTATGTGCCCAATTCCCCAGGGTCCCTATCTCTATCCCTGCCAGAGCCAACCACACACTTGAACACAAATGAGGATTTTGTAATGAGTGGCAAGAAAGTGGTCTGGTTTTTTTAAATTTCTGGGACCTTTTCCATTTTCTTCTTTCATTGTTTCAGTGGGCCAGTGAGGAGAAGAAGGAAGATGGATCTGCTTTTAAGTGAACTCAGGAGTGCGAGTAGGATTCCCATAAAAGTCTCACCACATGCCCCTCTTCTAAAAGAAGGCAGCCCTAGACCTCTAACCCAAAGGGGAAAAACATTCTTTGCACCAAAAGTCATTCTATCTGTCACACTGCTTTTTCTCAACATTAATAATGATAACTCACTTTAGCATTACTTGGTCACCAGAATTGCCCAAGAAAGATAATTTTCTCTGTTAGGACCTGTGCCAGATTATACAATCCTTCCTTTGTCAACCTATAGTCAAATAAGATAGCAGATCTTGGTATTTCTTTGGTAAGAGTCTCTTATTACCATCACTCCCTACCCGTTGCTATAGTCACCACCCTATTTTACTCTTCATCATCTCATGCCTGATTTATCATAAGTTCCTAACAAGTGTTCTTGTTTCCAGTCTCCACATCTAACCCCAGCCCAGCTTCAATCTATTTTGCACATTGCCACCAGATTATTTTTCTTTTTGTCAAAAATATCCAGTAACTCTCAGAATATGACAGGATAATATTTCAATATCTCAACTTGGGGTCAGAATCTTCCCCAAGCTTTTCTCATCCTACATTTCCACCTTTTCTCTTATTACTGCTCTACCTACAGCTTCCATTCCGGTCAATCTGGTTACCTTCTTATCACAGAAACAGATTTCCCACCTCTGTACCTTTATTCAAGCTATTTCCCACTTCCTGGATGCCCTTCTGTTTTCTCATGCTGTTCTCCAGGGCCCAGCTTAAGTGTGCCCTTCTTCTTTGAAGCTTTCTAGCAACTTCTGCTTCATTTAGCCAGACAGCATATTTCACAATGGGCATGTGCTTAGATACTGTTAGCAATCCTTTTGTATTTATGCACCTTATCTCTCCAGTTAGATTTTAAATGGAAGCACGAGAACAATTTTTTTGTTAGCCAAAACATACAACTTTATTGATGTTACACAAATGAAGTCTTTGGTGGATAGATTCAAATAAAAACAAATGATAGAAGTGTAGGCTATTAATAATGGACAAGTTCACTGTCAATTCACAGAGGAACCAATAAAAATATTTCCATTCAAGCAGCATAATTAGTCACAAATGTGTTTTCAGTACAAGAGGACTATTTATTTGGTATTCATCAAATGGTTCAGCTTAAAGCTGGAGACTGTCACAGATAATATCACTCTGGATGATACATTATTCAAAACTGGCAGCTGAAAGGATCACTTTACTATATGGGCAAATAGAGAAGCAGTAACTTTCAATTTTCATTGCTTCCAGACTGCAAAACCAAGAAATGTCTTCAAGTCTTTTGAGAGCACATAGCCAATCAGAATTTGTCAACTAGTTTTATAACTTTCACTTTCACCAAGAGGTCATGGTGATCTGCTAAGGCTCGAATTTTCTTAACGCACACCCCAGATGTAGTGCACAAGTAAAAAAGGGAACCTTTATTGAATTCTCTGTAGTTGAATACTTCTGCTCTGAGATTGTCATAGATGATCTCAAAGAGAGTAAGAGCATTAATAAGAATTTCTGATTCCACATAAGAATTATAGAGGGAACTAAATGATGATGGCACTTGGGTGCTGAGCAGCTTTTTTAACATATCTGGATTTTCAGCAAAATTTGAAAGTATTTTCAAAATCTCAATCTTGATTTTTCCACCTCCCTGAGACAACAAACGAAAAAAGTTTGCAATAGAATTGACAAGCAGGTGCTGGTAGTCATTAGTAATAGTCATATTTGTTAAAAATTTTAGTCCAACTACCTGTACTGCTGAGTTCAGGTTTGAGGCCATGATATCATCCATCACTTTATTCATGTATACCTGAAGCCGGCCCTGATTTTCATAATTCTCACTCAGGTTATTCATGGCCATTAAGGCTTTTTCCTTAATGTGGGGATCGGTTTTGTTGATCATATTTGCAATAATTGGGAGGCCTCCCAATTTGCGAATTGTGTCTTGGTTGCATGAATAATTGGCATTGTTGCTCAGAGTGAGCAAAGCTACCTGCTGGATGAAAGGATCATCCGATTTCTGAAGCAAAGCAAGTACTTTCCTGAGATCGCGGACACCCAGAATCTCATCAATATCATAAGGAAAGGGGCGCTTCTGCATGGGAACGGGTCTCCTCCCCCTTCCTCTTTGCTGGGTCTCAGGCTCAGAGTCTGACTCTGACTCTGTGTCAGTCCACCCAGATTCCCCTTCCTCAGAATCAGGGACCTCTGCCAGGAAGGCCTGTCCCCCATTAGCAGAGGCTGCAGCAGCTGCTGCAGCCCCATCCCCAGGGCGGAATCCCAGCCCCAATTGGTCTACTTCAACCTTGCTGTTTTTCTTGCCCTTGCCCTTGCCTCCAGTCCGGGACCTGGTTCCACCCTTGGCTCCACCTTTGGGTACAGCTCCAGTCGCTGACCCGGCTTTAGGTATAGCCCCAGTCTGAGACCCAGGAGTTGCTTTCTTGGTGGCTGCCACTGTTTTAGGGGACCCTGAGGTCCCCAGAGCCTCTACAGCCTCAGAAAGTGCGGCCAGTACAGGAGCTTCTGCTGCTTCAGTAGGTGCTGCTGCCTCAGTAGGTGCTGGAGTCCCGGGAGGCACCGCAGGCATTCGAGGAACTTCTGTTGTGCCAGGGGTGTCTGTCATTTTGGGAGCCCCTGCCATTGTGGGGACCTCTGCAGTTATGAGGGCCTCTGCCTCCCCTTGAGGTGGTGCCATTGTAGAAGCCACTTCCGCCCCAACTACTGATTCGGACTGAGGCCCAAACCAGGCCCCTTCTGTTTCCAGGGCCTGACTTCCAGCCCCACTCTGAGCCTCAGCACTGAATGCAGCTGGGGCCACTACCTCAGCTGCATTTATGTACAGGGCAGAGGCTTCATCCTGGGCCTTGTCCTCTGCCCCAGTGCAGACTGGAGTTGGAGGATGGAATCCTGGCCCAAGGTCAATTGTGAATCCAGCCCTTAGTCCTGATCTAGCCCTGGCTCCAGTCCCTGCCAGAGCCCTGGTCTTGGGCTTAGCCAGTCTCTTCTTCATCTGGTTTCTTCTCCTGGTGTATTTGTAGACACAGTACCAGGCACTTGCCCCGATCACTATCCCAGCAGCTACACAGCCAGCATCCCGAACTCGGCTCATGGTGCAGCTCAAACGATTCTCTGATCAGGGCGTGGAGCTGGCTTGCCCAAGCAGGATGTGTGCCCGTCAGGGCAAGGCTCACAAGTTCTATAGAGGTTGCAAGCCAAGCAGGACCTGAGGTTAAGGATAGAAATGAGGCTTAGGGCTCTGGCTCACTTTGTGCCTAACCAGGCCTACTTAAAGGAGAATTTGGGGGACATAATGCTTGGTGGGTTGGCTAGTACTCAGACACAGGTGTCCAGGCCTGTGTTTGCTGATTCAAGACTCTGGTTTTCCAACATTTTCTACATCTTCACCCCTAGCCTGCCCTGCCCAATGCCAAAACACACACTTTCCCAGCACCTACATGGGGAACGAGGCAGTACTGACATCAGTAAAGCTGGATGAGAGTAGATAACTCAGAGATCCCAGATTCTGCACTGATACTCTCCTCACGACCCCAAAGGTCTCCAAATGGTGCTCATTCACATACCAATCTGCTGTGAGGAGGAGCAGTTTGTCCTTTTCCAACAGGCTTATAGTTCTGTAGGGCCCAAAAGGCAGACAGACCTGTGAAGAGATCACAGAAAGGGGGTTTGGGGTCTTTGGTAGCTGGATTCTATTTCCTTTCTAATTTGACCCCCTGTGGGCCAAGTTTCTCTCTCACAGGCCTCTTCTTTCCACCTGTATCCCTTCCTTCCCTAGCCATTCATTAAGAAGGCAGATGCCACACCCCTTTCTCTTTACTGAAAGGACAGGACCAGGGAAAGTGTGTCTTGTAAAGAAGAAGATGGGGGAAGAGGTTCCTCTGGTCACAGATCTGCTCTGATTTCTGCCACACCTACACCAGGGGTTTCCACAGTTTTCATTCCCACACTAACCTGAAAGATTCAGGACTGTTTCTCCCTCCTTCCGTTCAGTTAGAGCTTCATCTTAAGGGAAGACTGCAGAGCAGAAATATACAGTTGACATTGGAGCGTGGTGAATATAACACACCCAGGACGCGTCTCCACAATTGCCTTTTAGCAGTTACAAAGGAGAATGACAAATGGGTCCACCTCCCAATTTTCTCAATTCTTCTTACCTCCCCCCTTAGCACCTCAATCTCCAACTCCTGCGTAGTCTCCCCACGCACTCACCCCCTCCTTCCCTTTGCCCCGCCCCCCTGTCCGCCATTTCTCCGGGACAGACTGCCACACCCCTTCTCCAGGGCTGTGGTAGGAGGGGGCGGGGCGAGAATGCAGTGAGAGCTGGATGGGACATGGGACCAAGCATTACTGACAAGCAGTCTTGTCCCTCCCCTGTGACCATTCGTCCTTCAGTTCCCAGCCCCCCCGGCCTAGCATTAACCTGCAGAACAGGAGCCCCAGTGTCGGAGGGTAGTGATTTTCCAGTTTCTCCGCTCCATCTGGGATCAGCCCCCCTCCCCTCCCCCCCCCCCCCCCCCCGCCCCTCCAAATACCACGCTAACCGCCATTTCTCCTGCCAGGGTAATCGGACTTCTATTCCAGGACTGCAGAAACGGAGATGAAGGACTGTGTGGGCCGGAGGTGTCTGGAAAGCAGCCTGGGAGTTAGCACCGTGGTTTAATTCCAGATTCTTTCGGGTCCCCCCTCCTGTGAAGCCCAGCGCCAAACCCTCCATCTCCCCTACAGAGGCTGGCACACCCATTTCCCAGCACCCCCAAAGGACACACAGCCGGCGGGGGCTGAGGGGGAAGGGGAGGGTTCAGGGAGGATGGTGGGGTGGGGGAAGGTATCTGCAAAGTGAGGGTGGGAGTGAACCTGCCAGATTGTTTCCAAAAAGCGTATCCCTCCGGTTACCTTCTCCCAACCTCTCCAAGGCCTTATTGCGCTGCCACGTTTATTTCCCTTCCCTGCTCCCCTCAAAACAAGATGGGATGTGGGGTGCAGGGCCTGGGTGTCAAAACCAAAACCAAAACACATTGGTTGGGAGGGGAAGTAAGCGGATTCTCCCCAAGTATATCAGTCTTTATGTCCCCCTTCCCCTTCTCCCCGCCGCCCACCAAAATGAAATGCGACTGAGCACGGGGGTCTGGAAAGCCGGCCAGGAGCAGGCGAGGCGGTGGTGCCCGTGGCCTCAAACTCCCGCATCTCGGGACTACCCTTTTCAGGAGTGCCAGGTCATGCCCACCCTCACACCCACCTGCCCGGATCTGGGGGAATGTTCTCCTCCTCCTCGCCTGGGTTAAGCGCATAGCAGTGCGCAGCAAAATAGAGTTGGTACCCAGAGGAGGACGGAGGACAGCGATCAGGGCTTTAAGTACCTTTGCCCACGTCAGCTCTTAGTCACGTGAGGGCCGCCTCGCCAGTAAGCTTGAGTCTCCAGTATCCACTCCCACCAAAAGAACGAGCCTCCGCCTTTACCTCCACTCTCACTTCACCCTAACACATTAGGTCCTGTCACTCATTTTTTTTTTTGTCTTTGTAGTCCCAGAAGCCAAAAGTAAGTCCCCTTTCCATGTGTTAGAATTTGCCTTTCTCTGGCTACCGGGGAGGGAGATATATCTTCTGGGGTTATTGACAATTTTAACCTTTTTGTTGTTGTTGGGGAATTGTCTCATTCTCTTTTAGGCAACTGGACACTCTTCCCTGGCTCCACCTCCAATTCCTGGTCACCTGGTGCCCATCACTTCCCCTGTAGTTGGGCCCCTACTCCAGTATAGTTAAGGGTCAGAGTATAGGAAAGGAGACAAGAGGTGGGAGTGGGGCTACACTTCTGTTACATTCCTTGGTTTTGTTTTTAAAGCTATCACCACCCTTCATTATAATAGTAAGTACAAGAGCTCGGTGTGGGAAGCAGCAACAAAAAAGAGTGGGTGTTTTATAAAAAAGATTTCACACTAATATTGGAAGGCACCATTAATATTGGTTCATTTTTACCACATAGAAAATGAATTCTACTGGCCACATGGGATATAGTTTTCAAAACACACTAAGGTATTTAAACATTTAAAAATGGAATTTCTCTGATAAACATGTTTCCATATGATCTATAAATTGGCCCATGGAGAGGTGTTCAGTTGTCTGATCTTACTTTGGACAAATAATATCCTTCTTTTTCTCTTTCTGGGACACCTTTTAAGTTGGACAAATAAATGATCCTCTCTTGTTGTTAGCGGGCACATTTATTTAATGTTCCCAAACCACTGCTGACTGCTGTGTGAACCTCCTGTAATTTGGTGGCTGTAACCATGACAGTTTTGAACACCTGTCCTTGGATTAGTTTACAGTTTTGTGATTCAGCTCTAGGCAAAAGGAAGCGCTGTCAGGCCAAGGAAATGACTGATGTGAGGGATGCAGAGATGGTCAAATCCTCAAGGGGACAGGGGAAGGTGCTCCCTCTCTACCCACTCCTATCTGCCAGAGCTTCTCATCCCCTGCAGTCAGGCACCTGACTTGCTAACCCAGAGGTATACATAAACAGGTGACCAAGATGATAAATGCCACCTTTACTCAGGTGACCAAACTGAGTAAATGCCTTTGGCTTCTTCCATCCTTCTCTCCCCTAAATTCCCACACAGGTAACTCAGGAATGCATAGGAGGGATTGTTGTTCCCACCTACCCCTGCAGCTGTGGGTTTCCATAAAACCTGGAGAAGTGATTGTTGGGGAAGCACCCAGGCCTGCCTGCGCTGCCCTCATTCAAGGTGCAAGAGTTAACATTGCTCTTTATACTGTCTGCTGCTACCACCTGGCCTGAGAGGTGCAGCCTCCTCTCACCTCTGGCCTCTTCACTGCAGGGCACTCATGGAGAACCTAGCTTTGCTACAGGGTCATGACCTGCAGCCCACACCCACTTTGGTGACCCCACAACTAAATATATGCAGTGCCCCAAAGGACTCTCCCCACTGACCACCTGATTAACCTAGAGTAGGCATTCTCAACTGGCCACCTCTGTGGTCATGTGAAATTCTATGCAAGATTTTGCTATTGAGTGTATGTGTGTATTTACTTTCCAAAAACAGAGGTCTCAAGAGGTCTGTGACTACTACCACAGATATAGAGAATCCATACAATGACCTAGAGAATCTGTGTTATATAGACTAGTTCAGATTAGGAATCTCTTGTGTGTGTTTTTCTGGTAATAATAGTAATATGTATTAGTGGTTAAAATATTCAAAACAATAAGGAAATATATGAAGTAATATATTTTCCACTCCCAGCCACTACTAACAATTTCTTTCTTTTTATGAACATATTGGTAAGTGCATTTATGCTTATTAATTGAGTTCCAAATTGAGTAACAAGAAGCAAATAATAAGTATTTGGAATTTGTATTGTAATTGCAGAAATATGCAGATTAATTTGAGGAACATTGACATCTTAAATTGAGAGCTCCCCTCCATGAATAAGATATGTCTTCATTTTGCTCAGATCTATTTGTATGTTTGTTAATCAAATTTCATAAGTTTCTTTAGCTAATTCCTATTACTTTTTAGGTTTTTTCTAAGTATTTAGTAGTCTTTATTGCTGACATGCTATTCCTTTCTCCAATTTTAGCGTCTGATAGGTAATTTCCCATTTCAGGAAAATGTTATATACCATTATATATTTATTTTATATCTGCCAATAAAAATCTGTCTTATTAATTCCAATAATTTTCAGGTGATACCTTTAGTTTTTGAGGTATGTATACATACCTCAGACAATCTACAAATTATGATTTTTTTCATTTCTTCCTTTACAATATTTATACCTTTTTTTCTTTTCTTTGTGTGTTACATTGACTAGAACCTCCAGAACTATGTTGAGTAATGGTGGTGCTTGAGCACCTCCTTATCTTATTCTTGAAGGAAGTTGAAATGCTTCTTTTGTTTCATCATTTAGTATAAATTTTGCTGTTTCTGATATATTCTCTCCTTTTTCAAGGCTAATTTCATTTATGTTTGCCAATACTGCAAAAAAAAAGTGGTACAAAGAAATAATGTCACAGAGTGGAGGCAGATTGTAAGTTCTGTAGGCTTGGTAGCCCACAAGGAGTGAGGAATATGGCAGGTCAGAAGAGTCTTTGATATGTTCTTCATCAGGTTAAGGATTTTTAAATATCTAATTTAATTTAACCAATAATAATTCATTAAATTATATATAATTCTTTATTGCATAAATTAAGTTTCATTCTTTTTGTATTATGCTAGTAGTTGTTTCGTTTTTTTAAATTAGAAATGGGTAAGTTTCTCCTTCAGTTCGTTGTTGTAATGAATGGTATAGATAGACCAGCCTCCCTGTCACTTTAGTTTCCCTATAGTCTATTCCAGTGGTTCTCAACCTGTGGGTCGCGACCCCTTTGGTGGTTGAACGACCCTTTCACAGGGGTCGCCTAAGACCATCCTGCATATCAGATATTTACATTACGATTCATAACAGTAGCAACATTACAGTTATGAAGTAGCAACGAAAATAATTTCATGGTTGGGTCACAACATGAGGAACTGTATTTAAAGGGCCAGAAGGCTGAGAACAAACCACTGGTCTATTCTCAACACATCCTCTGAATTTAAACTCCTTCTCCTCTTCTCATTTAAAGTAAATGCAAATGTTTTTACTCAAATTCACAAGGCCTTTCTTTCTACAACCTTATTACCTCTCTGCCTCATCTTTATGGAATTCTACACTGCTGTAAAAAAGAAGGAATTCTTACCATTTGCAACAGCATGGATGGAACTAGAGAGCATTATGCTAAGCGAAATCTGCCTCATCTTTTATTGATCTCTCTCTAGCTCAGCCATCCTGACCTCCTGGATGTTCCTGGAACATATTAGACTGTATGCCTTCACAAAACTTTTGTATTTGCTTGTCCTCCTACCTGGGATAGTCTTCCCCCAGAAATCACCATACTTAGATTTCTCACTGACTTCAAGTCTTTACTCAAAAGGTCATCTTTCTAGTGATTCCTTCCCTGGTCACTCCATCTAAAAGCTCAACCCATCTCGACTTTTCATATCTTTTCCTGCCTTTAATTTTTTTCTTTTTAGTATGTACCACTAACAATATACTATATATTTTATCTTTTTATTGTTTGTCTCTCTCACTACAATGTAAAGACCAAAAGTTTAGAGATTTAGGTCTGTTTTATTCACTGCTGTAACCACAGCATCAAGAATAATGCACTGCATGTAGTAAATAGTCAATAAATGTATTGAATAAATGAATGAAAGGTTTCAAACACTGAACCACTCTCTTGCATTCCAGAATTAAAGCCTAGTTAGTTATGTCATAATATCATATTGGCAAACTTTCAGACAAGTAATTAGTTAAATTAGGGTCTTGTTATGTGATGAGATGTGGAAGAGATTAAAATTGCTTTGAGTGGCATGTGTAAAACTCATTATGCAGAGAGAATGGTTGTTTATGATACATGGCTTTTTACATTTAAAAATTTATTACATATATTAGGTTAACTGGTAATAACATTATGTAAATTTTAGGTGTACATCTTTATAATATATCATCTGTATACTTTATTGTGTGCTCACCACCTGAAATCTAGTCTCCTTTCATCCCTTTTACCCTCTTTGCCCTCTTCCGAGCTCCTTTAGTAAACATCACTCTGTTTTCTGTATCTATGAGTTTTTGTTTTGTTTGTTGTTCATTTGCTGCTTTTTGTTTTATATAACACACATGAGTGAAATCATACAGGTCTTGTCTATCCTTTTCTACATGACTTATTTCACTTAGCATAATATTCTCAAGATCCATCCATGTTTTCACAAATAGCAATACTTAATCTTTCTATGGTTGAGTAGTATTCCACTGTATGTATGTATCACATCTTCTTTATCCAGCTGTCCATCAAAGGACACTTAGGTTGTTTCCATGTCTTGCCTATTGTGAATAATGCTGCAATAAACATAAGGTTACATGTTTCTTTACAAATAAATGTTTTCTAATTTCTCATTGCTGGGTTATATGGTAGCTCTATTTTAAATTTTTTTAGGAACCTCCATACTGTTTTCTATATTGGTTATACCAATTTACATTCCCACCACCAGTGTACAAGGGTTCCCTTTTCTCCACATCTTCTCCAACACTTGTTATTTCATATCTTATTGATAATATATGGTATTGGCAGAAAAAAAGAGCAATGGAACAGAATTGAGAGCCCAGAAATAAACTCACACATAGATAGGCAACTAATTTTAAGCAAAGGAGCCTTTCAATAAATTAAATGGTGTTGAGAATACTGGAAAGCTGCCTGCAAAAAAAAGTAAGAA